GACTGAAGAATTGATACTGTATGTTGTCTGTTTGGTATGAATTACGATTTGCATGTTTAAATGTGAATTGATGATGCTTATTGAGGAAAAGGAAAATGAAAGATTGTGTAAACTGATAATTGTATGATGGGGTCAGCCTGACTGGATATCCTGGGAGATGGTGGACGGACCGGGTCCGTAGGGAACCCTACCGGGATTGTGGTCTCACATGCCGGACGGGGTATGGAGATCTTATGGTTTTGGCGCCCATACCGGACGGGGTATACCGGGGATTGTGGTCTCACATGCCGGACGGGGTATGGAGATCTTATGGTTTTGGCGCCCATACCGGACGGGGTATGGGGACGGCCCGTTCACCCTCATACCGGACGGGGTATTGAGGTTTATGGTTTTGGCGCCCATACCGGACGGGGTATGGGGACGGCCCTGGAAACTGATTATGAATGTTAAAGGTTAACGGGTAGCGGGACCCCTATGGACCCCCATGGATACTAGTAGGCTGGTAAATGAAAAAGAATATGTTGTATAATGATTGAATTACAAAAGGCGTGATAAGTGCTATGTTTTACAGCTTATATTATTCCATGTTTGTGATAATGTTATTGTTTTCTTATAGTGTTTCATGAATTCCACCGATGTAAGTGGATGGTAAAGGTTTTCATGTTAATAAACGAGTTTATTGCAAATCATGCTCCATTGGTCTTTTGTGTTTTTCTACCCACCTTTACCTCCGTGACGGTGAGATATCGTGATGTTCTTACTGGGCTAGTGTAGCTCACTCCTTATTTAACCATTTCAGATCAGGAAGACATGGTTCCCGAACCCGTTCCGCAGGAGGACGACGAAGGGGATACCTAGAGACTCTGTAGTCATACTCATAGTTTTATTTTCGAGTTTCTCTCTTAGTTAGTTTAATCTTTTATATTTTAAGTACGTTTCTGGTTTTTCGTGTAAGGGATGTTAACTGAAATTTCGATCCCGCTTCCGCATTTGATATATTTAAATACTCATTTCATTTTAATATTTCCGGGGCCGTTACAATGTTAGAGTTATTAATTAGAGCTTATAGTAGAGAGTGATGTTTTTTTATTAATTTTTTCTTCTTTTTTTAAATTATTATTTGTATTAAATTTGAATATATTTTTTTTCCAATATCTTAAAAATGTCAAAATATATATTGACATATAATTTAGAAGATATTTTACTAAACATTGAGAAAATCAATACCCATTTTATTTTTAAGAATAAATTAATTATTCAGCATGTGCTACTTTTATAATATAATTTTACAATAATATTTTATAATTATATAAAAACATCATAAATATTATGTAAAAAAATACTAATTTTATTTTTTTATCATAAAAAATTATTTTATTTAAAATATTATTTGGTGATGCTCTATGCTTCCACTTCTGCTTCTTCTTTTTTTTTTTTTTTTAAAGTCTCTACTAATGCTACTACTAAAAAGAAAAAAAAAAAAAGTCTACTGATCTCTATTTTTATCATCATTAGCGACTTAGTGGATTTTACTTTTTCAGTACATTAATGACATATATATATATATATATATTAGGATGATCGAGACTTTGACTTAGGACCGTGGATGTCAAAAGAGAAGTAGAATTCTCAACTCTCCACTTATCTTTTAAATTTAATATACATTCACTTATATTCCCTTTAATATAAAATATAATTACCTAACACCTATATTTTGAAATCTTATAATATAAATTTTATGAAAAGATTAAATCTTTATAATTTAATTTTTATATTGAAACAAATATTTTAATTTAGTCTAATAAATTAATTATATATAAAAAGTAAAAATAAATATTTTTTTTATGAACCCACAACCATACGATGAGATCGGTCCCCTTCAAAGCTAATTACTTATGGAGAATAATATGTTAAATGCATAATCATATTTTACATTTAATATTTATTGTTAAATTAGAGATATTAGTATGCAAAATTATTTATTTACTAAAATAAAAAAAAAATTCCATTGAAATTAAAGATGAAAACCCTTATATTTAAAAGAAAAACAAAGAACAAAAAATTATATTATAAAAAAACTAGAATATTTATAAAAAAATATAATATATTTAAAATATAAAAACATACCTATTATTATTATTTTTGTTTTTTTTTAATGTAATTTTTTTTTTTTCATTTATTGTGTAGTGACAAAAATCATATAATACATAAGTTCAACTCACATTGTTCAAAAAAAACAAATCACCAAATTAGTTTTCAAAATACAATATTTATTATAATTTGATTGCTAATATATATATATTTTTTGCGATGTAGTCTCAAATATTTTTTATTTATTTTAACATTAAATTTTTTAATTAAAAGTTAAAAATTAAAAATTACAATATACTATTAATATATTTTAAAAAATAATTTAAAAATATAATTTTAATTAAATAATTAAATTATTGAATTAATAATAAAAAAGTGTAATATTATTATCAATTTATTAATTTAATTAATTAATTATATTTATTTTAAATATGATTTAATTTTTGTCTATTATCAAATTGAAAAAAATTAAATATTTAAAATAAATAAAAATATTAAAAAGTAAATTATAATAAAAATTATTGGAAATTAAATTATAAAAAATATTAAAATTCGAATCTAATTTAATAATTTTTTAATTTAAGTTATGGTTTTTCATTTAATATGTAGTTAATACTTGGACAAATCGGATAAAATATAACGGAAAAAAACGAGAAAGGCATCATCTTTCAACTAACATAACGGTAAAATCTCTTCTTCTCTATCGGATCTTCTTGCAGTTTTTTGGCGGCTGTTCTCCTCTTCCCTCCCCCTTCCTGCTTTGTCTTCTACATCGAGTACCAGCGTCACACCTCTCTTTATCACCCTCTACACGCGCGTTCGTGAAGTTGTGGTTTAAACTTAGGCGTTTCAGTTATTGTATGTAACTGTTCGATGAAATGCCAAACAGACGATTAAGCATCTTGACGTTTTCTGAAAACTTTATTTTCTAACTTCTTATTTTTTGTGGAATCAGTTAATTCAGGCATGGATGTGGCTCATGACTACCTAAATGGAAATGCCGATGCGGGGGAATTTTGTCCTCATGACTCCTACCATCACGTTCTTGCAGCCTCCACGTATACGCTGCAAGAGGGTGATCATCCCTCTCGATCCGGAAGCATTTTACTCTTCCATGTGGGTGCTGAAAAAGGCGCCTTGCATTTGGTTCACCGCGTGGATACAGCGGGAATTTTTGATATTAAATGGAGCCAAGTTGGAGGAAATGCCGGCCCTTGCTTGCTCAAGCTGATGCGGATGGTTACTTGAGAATTCATAGCTTAGAGGATAATTTTGATGGACAAGAAGGCAGAGGTATGTTATAGTTTTTACTGCTGTTTTAAACGTTTCTTTGTGTATCACTTTAATAATGGAGTTAGAAATTGTGTGGGATGCGTGACAGATAAAGTTGGCTTTGTGAATCTAGTAGCTGGTTCAGTTCAAGAGTATTAACCCAGTTGATATAAATGTATAGTAACACATGTCTGTACGCGCGCACTCACACACGCATACATAGGTATTTACACATGTTTTCTTAACTTACACAATCAAGAAGGTGCTGAGTGAGATTGAGTGTCTTAGTGCTACGAATTGATAGAGAAATAAGCTGTCGTCTTCTCCTGAATTTTATTAGTAATATCTATAACATCTCTCTCATGAAGATAGGTTTATCTAAAGCCACGTCAACTTTGCATCTTTTATGTGATTGCTTTTCTGGTTTTTTTATCTATGAGAGGATGATATTCCAGCTAGTTAAAGTTAAGGTCCCTACCATTGGGGCAGGGGTCCAGGCAGGGGAGAGACGCTTCTATAAGAACTCAACAAAACACAGGAAAATTTTACAGGGTTTGGCCGCCTTACTTAGGTGTTTGGTCCATGCATTTTTTATGGTTTAAGATAATCTTCCGAAAAGAATCTGAGGTAGATCACAGCAATTTTATTAATCAACCCCCTTAATCATAGTCCCAATACATGCAATAAATTTTCTTATAGCATCCATTCTTCTGTTCCTTTGCTTATAAAGCTGATATATTAGGTTGGGCAAGAAAACCAGGAATTCTATAAATGTAGTATATGCACTCTAGATTTCACGTGCAGTAAACGCATGCCTCGTGGGATTAGATTTCCTGTTGCCTGTTTAAACTTTTGTCTATTGACATGTTGGTTAGCTTATTTTATCTAGCCATGAACCTTTGAGTGATCTGTAATCCATCCATAGCGTTTTAATTTGGTTCATAGAGAGGACTGTTGTTTCTCTCATTATAAGTTTTATATCTAATGTATGCTTTTTAACAATGACAAGGAATTTATAAGGATAACTCGACATTGATTGCAACTGTCCCAAACTTATTGGTGAAGTTCTTGCTTATGTATGTGAATGTGTCAGTCATTTATCATGTATATCATTCAGCTATTTTTTGTGGGGAATTATGTTTTATCGCTAAAAATACAACCTTATCATTTTTCTTTCTTTTTTCTCTTTCTGTGCAGGAGGTTTTCTGCGGGAAGTCACTGGTGAAAAAGTCAGCTCATCCATGTGCCTTTGTGTGGACTGGAGCCCTTCATCTGAATTTATCACTGCTGGGTTTTCAGATGGATCTGTTTCAATAAATTCTCTTGCAGAGTCTCACTTGGAAACAATACAAGAATGGAAAGCACATGATTTTGAACTTTGGGCCACTTCCTTTGATATCCAGCAACCGCAATTAGTATACACTGGTGCAGATGACTGTAAATTCAGTTGTTGGGATATGCGGGAAAGTCCTTCCCAACTGGTATTTCGGAATTCCAAGGTCCATAAAATGGGTGTTTGCTGCATTTCTAAGAGCCCCATTGATCCAAATTGCTTACTTACTGGTAGCTATGATGAGTACTTGAGGGTGTGGGATATAAGATCAATCTCAAAACCCATAAACGAAACATCAATTGGTCTAAGGGGAGGAGTGTGGAGAATTAAACACCATCCTTTTGTACCTTGCTTGGTCTTGACAGCTTGTATGCATAATGGATTTACAATTGTTAAGATTGAAGGGGGGGAAGCAGAGGCCATTGAAACTTATCGTGAACACAGCTCACTTGCATATGGGGCTGATTGGCAGAGAGGTGAAATGTTTGAGGAAGGCAAGAGAAAAAGTAGTGTGGTGGCTACTTGCTCCTTCTACGACCGGCTTCTCCGGATATGGATTCCAAAAAGTGATATCTTTACATGATTCTCTGCATTCAAGTACATTATTAAACTAATTTGGAATTATCACAGTTGTGTGACTCTCAGTTTTCTTTATTTTTGTCTTTACAGATGCGAGTCAAACATGGCATCTAACCGTCCTTATCTTTTTATTAATTAAACTTGTGTCTGTTTGAAACAAATATACAGAGCACTGGTGCCTAAGTAGAACTTGACATGTATCCCTAAAATAAGGCCCAGAGTTTCCTGCTGTGGCCATGTTCACGTTGATCATTGGCATAAAATTAAAAATTAGGTTTTAATGCACTTTTTTTTAATGAAATTATGGAACAAGATGGGAAGGACATTTTTGTTAAAATATTAGCTTTCAGAACTGAAAGAATGTTTACTGGTAGTTGGATGATTATTCTGTTTGCTTTATGGAGCAGTGTCTGGAAAGAGGAGAGAAAAGGAACCATCATGGGGGTACTGTTCAGCTTGCTGGTATTTTTTAACTTGGTGAACTTTGAATTTATGGTGTCTGTTGAAGCCCACTGTCTTTAATTGTCTTTTGAAACAATTTCTTCTTTAAGATCCCTTGTATAGCCCTATTAGATAAATAAATTCATAGACCCAAGAATCTTACATCATGATTAGTAAACCCTAATCAAAATTTGCTAAGGTTTTGCTTGTCTTAATGCAACTTTTTCTGAAATGTAGAGGGATGCTTCCTGCACCCATAAATAATTCTGGCAATTTGCACCTTTTTCCTTTGTTGTTGGCATAGATGGCTCAACTTAATGAGTCTTGGCTTTTAGGGCCTAACAAAAACTTGTTTATAAAACTAGTATACATTCTCAAGTGCCCCTTTCTTGCTTGTTTAATATTGGCATTGGCAATTCCAGTTGGATTTTCTGTCAAATTTCAACTACAATATACCTAACCTAAGAAAAAGTGTTTAATTACTCGAGTCAGAATCCAGCTTGCTTGCAGTAGTTTTTGCTAATGACTCAAGTTTTATTTCACTGCTGAGATTGATTCTTTGATTCTTTTGTCTTGTCGTTTCTCATACAGCAGCTATGTCTCATTATTTGATTTTGTTCTTTATTTCTAATATGTCCAAATGAATGAGAAATGAGTAACGTGACACTAGAAGACATATAAAATGGTCCTGGTTTATTATAGACGAAGATAATGGTGTTGAGGTTGAGAGCTCCAAATCACCATTTCTGTTTCAGTAGCCACTGTTTCAGTCTCCATTAACTCTTTATTATTAGGTGGAGAAGAAGATTCTCCATCAAAATTTGTCCTTGCTGCTTTTTTTTTTTTTTTTTCCTACTCTACTGTGGTTGTGGTGGGCCTAATACATCACTGGATGACACCCAGATTTTCTTGTTCATTAAAATCATTTTTCTTTTCACATTTAATGCCAAATTCATGAATAGATTCACAACTTGCATGAATAAACACACACATACATAAACGTTACTAACGGTCTTTTGAGGGTGTAGTTATTAACAATTAATCTGATTGCTGTGGTAGTATTTTGAGGTCTAGAACAATAAATATAGCTTAAATGAAGCTATTCATGTAAAGTGCTTCCGAGATATAAATGTGATTGACTCATTTTAAGTATTTATTAATAAATTCTTTAAACAAGTTTAAGATAGATGGATATATATATATATATATATATCGTATTTTTATGTAGTGTGTTAATTTATTTGCATTCCGAGAGCTTTGAAATTTTTTTCAAACTGTATCAATTATGTTAATTATGATTATTTTTAACACAATTTCAACTTAATTGTTACTTTTTTAAAAACGAATTCTAGTTTATAGATTATATATTTTAGGAGTAAAGTTCATGTAAAATTAAGGGTAGAAATCTCTTATTATAAGAAAAAAATTGGATCCTATTTTCCTACATATCTTGGCATATAGGTGTCCACACTCTGATAATTATTATTTATTTGTCAGCATTAACTTTTTTTTTTTTTTTGTTCCCTTGGAAGGTCAAAATTAACTTTGATACGCCCTTCATTTGTTCTAAACATGTGATATCTAATCTACTTACCACACAACATATCTTTCTCTCTCTCTATATATATATATATATATGTATGTATGTGGGTCAGCATATGTCTACGTATATACAATAAATATGAGGGTATTATAATGATTTAGATTCAATTATAGAACACTAAATATAGATACATATGTATTATGTGAGAGATTAGAGCAAGGAGTGGAGAACAAATAAATGTGTAAGTTAGAGATAGTTCCAGTTGCCATTGTCTTAATTAAGCTTATTTAAGAATGGAAATGGACTGAACATATATATGTATATATACAGGTCATATTGGAACAAGACTAGTAGTTTGGACAAATGGGGTCACTACATTACACAACTGAAGTTCAGAACTAACATAAGACAGCCATGACCAACAGCAACATGGTTGGTTCTTGTACTGTCCAATTTAAACCTTTTTTTTTTTTAGAAACTTATTACCAAATTAAGTTTTTGCCGAAGGCACGGGTTGTAACTTCTTAATTTAGGGTGACAAGATGAATTAATAAATATTCAACTGATTTCTCTAAATGAGAATTTAAGATTTTTATTGAAAAATAAATAAATAAATCGAATAGAGGGATCTATTATTTGATTTAAATAAAATTTTA